CATCGCGCAAAATCTCAAGTGTCAGCGAACTTATTCTTCAATGAAAACATAATCAGAATATGTAGCATAATGTCGCACGGTTATGAGTCCCTCTCTCTCTCTCTCTCTCTCTCTCTCTCTCTCGCTATCTTTCTCTTTTTCACCGACCTGTATGTGTTAGTATTCCGTTTTTATGGCTAACTCGAATCCAGTATGGTCACTTTTATATTGTTTTAATTGTAAATGCCGGTGTGTATTGTGAAGAACATGCTCGTTTAGATCACGGTTCACAAAAATATGTTCTACCAAAAGAGAAGAAAAAGAGACGAAAGAAAAAAACAAAGCATCGGTACTCATTTTGCACATGTGTTTGTTTCACCGGCAACTCTCTCAGAGCAACACTTACCGACTATTATTTCCGAGAATTTCATAACTGCGAACTGAACGAACGAACAAACAAACGTACCATATTTTTATGACTTTCTTCGTATTGTTCTGTCATATCATATCAATTTAGGCCGCATAGCCTTTCCGATTTTCGATACGTGGGGAAAAAAACTATTGCTATGGGCTACCCTGTCCAATCCAATAAAAGTATGAAAACCCTTTGTTAATCAGCCATCACATTTTCAAAATTTCTATTCAAAATTCAACTTATTCAGGTCTAAAGCTCACAATTCATTTTATGCACATCCATTTTCGAAAAAAAACCATCAAAAATTATGCAAGATATTTGTCCAAATGTACGCCAATGAAAATAAACTTAGTCGAAAAACCAATGAATATATATGTATACAATCTGAAAATAATAAAGTGTCGACAAAAATATCATGAATTAAGAAATAAGCGAATCAAATGGAAAATAACACGATTTCAGCGCGCAAAACAAGCTGTTATGATATCCAAAAATACGGCAAAATATCTCGTGTGGCCGTACTTGAATTGTCTTTTAAAAACACATTTCCATGCGAGAAAACAAAAACGCCAATGAAATACTCACTTGAATGAATAACCGAAAAGCAAATGATATACAAACACTTAGCGCCATCTATTGTGCAATGGCACACGTTTCACTCTAGTTCGGAACTCGAACCATGCATCGAAAGCTGCTTTGAATTCAAAATTAAAGCCACAGAAGGGAACTGTATTGTTGGTGCATTGAGACATTGAGCGTAAAAATATTTTAAATTTTACGTTACTTTGGCATTTAGTCATGATTGAGAAAGAAGAATTTGAACAGTTCTGACTTTGATCTTAAATTAATGGATGCTTTAATCCGAAGTAATAGAATCGACAGCGAATTTATAGGTTTTCGAAAATTTAGAAAAAAACTGAAGGCTCAAAAGACCTCTAAAGACTCTCCAGTGTCTCCACTCCAAAAAATGAGTTTGAGTTTGAGTCCAGAAATTGGAATTTACGAAATTTAAATCACATTTTCTGAAAAATGCGAAGATTTAAAATCTTCCCATATAAGAAATCTACTTCGATGGAAGTAAATACCTTGCGAAATTTACAAATGCCTCTTATTTTCATCTTGCCAAAAAAAGTCGCATTCTTGAAAAGCCACAAAAAGCGATCCATTTGTTGTGTGCTCTTATCACATTCAACTGTGATTAGCATAAGAGTGGAAAATGTTGTTGGAATTGGAAACGGCTGGCATTGTATGTGTGTATGTTCTGAAGTGAGCCAGCATATGTTGGTGATTGCACCAAAAAGCGTTTCGATATAAATACACGTATATATTCGTTCGCTCTCCCTCCTTTCCATTCTCTTTCTCTCCTTGAGAGAGTAACTCTGTGTGGCCCGAGATGCTGTGTCTTTGTATAAGCAGCCGTGTGTATTTATTTCTTCTTTTCGGTCTAAAATCAAAACATAAATTGCAGTAATGTCAAAACCATGCATATTTCAATGTGTCACTTGCACTGAGAGAGTCAAACCGAAAAGAGAGAAAATGGGAAACAAAGTACACTTACTCACATACGCATACATATCCAATCACTGTGTGATGGTTCTATGGCAAATTCGTTTGCCATACACACATATACGAGAGCGAGCAGCAACAACAGCATCAGTATCAGCAGAGAGAGAAAGAGAGAGAGAGGGGGGGAGCTGAGGGAGAAAAAATGGTTTTTTAATTTGAAATTTTTGTTAGCGCATTGTTCGGGTATCGAAATCGCGCTATGGATTTTGCACCATTTCAAAACGCTTGTCAAATGCAAAACTTGGATAAAACTCAACCAGAATTGTTTTTTCCCTCCCTCTCTCTCTCTCTCTCTCTCTCTCTCTTTCTCTCTCTCTCTCGCTTTCGCTCACTTGTTCCTCCATGGTCATGCACGACAGCCACGTACGTATATAGATGGTGGAAATAAACAAAGTATTTGATGCTTAAATACCAATCATTATTTCACTTGAAGCCTTCAACTTGAAGCTCATTGTTAATCATTCGTCGGGATGGATGGTCGGGGGGCAAAGCACGCATACGTCAAGCTCCTAGTTTTGCATGTGAGACACGGATCTTTTTTTTCAGCTATAAAGCAGCTTTTGATATTTTTTTTCTGTTCAATGAAATGTTCAGTGTTCATCATCCTGGTCGCAACTTCAAGCGAAATAGAACCTATCCCGGAAAAATGAATGGAGAAATAACAAAATCAGTACTTTTCATAAACAACCATTTGGAATCACCAGGATGTAAAAAGAAAAAAAAAACTTGAGCGATAATTTCGAGATGGAAACCGGAGATTTCGGTGCAGGGGAATGGTGGTAATGGTGACGGTGGTGACGGTGGCAATAGAACAACACACATACACCGGAATCGTATATCATATTGAAGGCCGTTTTTGATGCACAAAACACATTCGGGTTATAAGACCATATATGGACGGATGTGTTTGTGTGTGTATTTGCTGTGCGACAGTGCGACTCTCTCTCTCTCTCTCTCTCTTTCTCTTTCGTTCGATTCGTGTGGGCTCGACACAATTTATGTTATTGGCATATGAACAATCAAAAGCATTCTACCTTGCAGTTGATGTAAACCAATTATTTCTATTCGGGATTTGTTGATGTTGTTGCTGTTGCTGTTGTGTGGCGGCTGTTTTTTTCTGCCAGTGCCATTACCACAGCTTTTGGTCGCATATTTTGAGTTTGATGCATGACATTTTCTCTGATTTTCATTGTGCTGCAAATGCCATGTATCGGGGATGGTTGTGTTTTTAGCACTACATGAAATGTAGAGCTACTAATCTACTTCTTTTTTTCCTAGATACTTTTTGAGTGTTGAAACAAATTATGGTGAATCTGAATTTTATGCTCATATTTTTTATTTAATTTAAACCAAAGGCAGTGTATTTCAAAAAATAAATAAAATTAAGATCTTGTAATTCATTTTGCAAATAAATATATTACTTCAAAGTTACTTTGATGAAATATATTTCATGTAGTGCGCAAAAAAATAGTTTGTTGTGAAACAACAAAATAGATTAAGTAACTAAAAACTCAAGAACGCAGAGCGGAGCGAAGCTCTGCGGTCTTGTTTCTCTCTCGCATGGCTCTCTTTCCCGATTTTCATCACGCGATGGTTTTTTTGTACCTGATATTTTGTCGATTTTGAATGGATTTTACGTTGAAAGAAAAAGAATTGTGGTTCAATAGAGACAGAGATAACCGGGGATGGAGGTGGAACCCTTGTTTTTTATAGGTAACACAAAGCTCATCTCTATCCATCACAATTTCTATCTGCAATAACTCTCGTTCTTTCCATGCATGCTTCCATGGGTAGTGAAGGAAATCATGTGCAGGAAGACCAGCTGAAGGCGAGCAGAAGAAGATGAAGATCGGAAAATCAGCTTGAAAACCAGCAAAAACTTGGCAAAAATAACGCCAATAGCAACGTTTGATACAAAATTTGACAAGGATCCGTTATCGTATGTTGAAATATGATTTGCTTCTGCAAATTTAAGTAAATATCCACTTCTTTTCGATTTCTATGCTGGAGCTTATAGATCATAGAATGCATGGAAAAGATGGAAAAGAGAATTGCAACCAATTTTCCTCAGATGAATATTCAAATCTTGGCAGATGGGCCAAAGCGACTTCATATTGAATCGACAATTTTATGTCTTTTATAAATCGTCATGTATTTTGATACCAACAGTTGAGAAATATGCGATCGCTGTTATACCAAATCAAATTGTGCGATATAATAGCAGCAATCGAATATTTCATATCAATACATTCAATACTATTACTCATTCAAATTCGGATGCTTAACTCTATATTCAAAATGTGTGCGATTTAGTTAGTTAGTTTATTCAATATCAATGAACCATACACATCGATTCAATTTCAATTCAATTCAATTGGTAATGTTTTTGTTTTTGAAAATATTTAGTTTTTCGTTCCATATGCTTCATTGATATATGACAATCAATCATATGCGTTCAAGAGTGGTTTGGGAGAAATGATTCATATTCTCTTCGAGTCAGAGCTAATGGGTCATTTTAATTGTTGTCAAGATTTGAGAATAAATGAGTAGTTTGGAGCGAAAATGTAATACAGAAAATTTTCGGGGAAAAATGTCGATGATGAATGAGCGGAAAAGGATAGCTATATAAAGTAAACTGTATAGCTATCTCTTTTCATTTGACATTTTTCCGCGCAACTCTTCTGTATTACATTTTCGCTCCAAACTACTCATATGCGAATAGTCTCTTGTCACTGATTATTTGTCACATTGTCTAGTAGACAATATCTACACTAGCATCCCCGAATATGAAGCCTAGAAGAATAAATTAGGTACACTGCAACATTTTTGAGTGTAAAGACTAATATTGAGTTGTGGTAATATAGAGGTTTCAACTATTCTAAGATGAATTTACACCGAAAT